AGAATACAGACATTCAGATAAAATGTTGCTATCATCCTTTTTCAGCAAAATTAGCTGGTTCCTTAAGGTTGGACAGCAGTGCTCATTAGGAGCTACTTTTCCTCACAACGGAGTAGCTAGAGATCAGAGGAGGGAGCAAACTCTCTTGATCCCTTCAACCAGAGTCTTTCTGTATCCTCTCTTTCCTCACAACAAAATCCCCAGCCACAGCTGTCTCAGAACTAACTAGATATTTTCTTTTTAAATACTGACTACTGCTTAGGGGGTAATAAGAATAGTTTGTAAAAGTACAGACGCTATCACTACTTGGTGGTATCCACTATAATGATATCCTGCCTCGAACTTGTTAACAAGATGCTTATAAAAAAAAAAAAAATTTTTTTTTGCAGCTTTTAAAGGAGGCTCTTCTGTATTTGAGAAGTTTTATTCTTATATAGCTCATTGTTTTGCTAATGTTATTACAGTCATTGATTTCAAATACAGCAATGTGATTAATATTCATTAGGTTAAGGTAGAGCAGCAGAACTATTCAGACCTATAAAGCAAAAAATTCTACCCCACCTGTGCTTCTAACTCCTGTATTAGGCAATACAATTCATCTGCATTTGTTAGTTAATGAGCTCCTAAATCCTTCATGTATTTAAAAATCTCAGTCCTAATTCACAGTTCACTTAGATGCTAGTCTACGTCGCAGCTCTGCCACTTATTTGCTACAAGACTTAGTCATTTATTTTCCATATCTGAAAGTGGATGATAATTCTGAATCATCTTACCCCTGTACAAAGTACAAAATACAAAATTTGGTCAAATTTGCCAAGATCTTTGTTTTCCTTGACTTACTATGTGGATCTGGAAAATACACTTCATGCATGCCAAATATCTCTACTATTCTAAAGCAACTGTAGACAGATTTTTCACATACCAGCTCTTTTACGCTGTAGACTGGAGACTGCTGAGTCAAGGGTTCATAGGTCTTATTGAGGACAAGTCAGATAAAATGCAAGTAGGGAAGGAAATGTTCACTCTAATGTTTGCAGAAAATAAATAGATAAGACCTTCTGGTAAAATCAGAGTGTCTCTACATAAGAAAAAAATAACCTCTTTTCAGAGTATTTTTTGACAAGCTGTTGTATTTGTAGCTGATTTTTGCAGCAGGCAACTGCAGAATATTAATGGAACATTGGTACATGAGCAATATGAACAGGTTGATGATGACTGACTGAAGTCTCCAGTGCGTGTTATCAAGATATATTATTTGTCTATAGCTTTTGATTTTAGTTTGACTTTGTTATTTCAATCTCTCTTTTTTTTCCTGCACTTTTTTCCTTTCCTTTTTCTATCTCTTTTTTTCTTCTTTTTCTTTCCTTATCTCATTCCCTCTGTTTTCTTATCTCTCTCTCTTTCCTTCTTTTATTCTTTTCCTTTCTTTCATTCCACTGTTTAATTCTATATAATAAAAATACTGCATATTTTGTCCTCTGACCATATTTCTCTCCTACTGTTTATTAGTGGATACATGTAGATTGTGTTACAGCAAGCTGTATTTGTGCTCCCTGCTCACATAAATGAGATTTATACAGGAGAACTAAAAGGAGTTCAGGAGAAAGAATCCCTGTGCACAGACTGATGCAGGGTATGGAAAAGCTGAGCCATCTCCCTGTAGTTGACAGAGAGAACTGAGACTGATGGGTTCACTTTGGAAAAGCTTCAATCACTATTCCCCACTTTCTTCTCCGTGTGGATGGCAAGCTGCATTCTTCACCCATTGCTTGCCTATAAAAGCATAGGAATGAGTAGTACTCCCTTGCTGGCTCTAAGCACATGATGGAGCTCACATGAGTACATGACTTTAAGCACACTGGTAGTGACCTTTATTTACGCAAATGCTTTTTTTTTTTTTTTTTTTTTTTTCCTTGCTGGGGCATTGTGCCCTTCAACTGAAAAAAAAAAAAAAAAGAAAAAGAAAACGAAAGTGGAAATCCCACAAATGCTTATTTTTATATCTTTTTGCTATATCTCTTTCTTCACAGGTCATAATATATTCTTAGAGCTCTGAAAGGCATTTTGCTTGTCAGTGCTTCATTCCTCTTTCTCCCATCTCTTCTCCTGTCAGCATTTTTATCCTCTCATTCAAAGTGCTATTTTATTATGGCTGCTAGTAGTTTTTGCCCTTGCCTGTACGCCCCCTCTGCTATTCAAATCCTACACATTAGGCTCAGGTTATAGCTAGGGATATTACTGTGCTAGATGTTGTGTTTTGGGAGGAGTTCAGTTTCAGGGAGATTAGATGAAGATGTAACAGCAGAAAGTTACTTTTAGATCTTGAGCAGATGTGGGATATTTAAGATGTTGGACTTGGCATTTCTGACATAATGAATATTTTGTTTCTCTCTATACAAACATGTATTTATTATTTTTCCCCTTTTCACCTTTTATTAACTGGACCTAAAATTGGCCACCCAGATCATAAAGGACTATCCTGGAAGCTATTATTAACTGTACTTTGTAGGATCAACAGGAGGTGTGAGATACGATGATCCAGACCACTGCTTTGTGACAGGGTAATTTCTAGTGTAAGCTAACACACAGTCTTTCACTGCAGCAATCTTCCCACAGAGCTGATGTTTTAGTCCTTCAAGAATAATCTTCTGACTAATGTGGTAGTAGTGTTTTTTCAAAATGGTTACATATTATGTTTTGGAAATTGGGTACTTTCTCAATAAGTAGATAGTGGCCTTTTTTTTATAGAAAACAATACTTTGATATTGTGTGACATTAATTAAATTTATGGTATGGATAAAAATCATATGACTGTGAAAAGCTTTCTGCTTAAATCTTTGAAGTATGGAAAAATAATAGTTAACATATTTCTGGGAAATAATCAAAAGATGACTTAATTGAGCAAAGTTAGTTTTTTTCTCGGTCAGCAGAAAGCTGTTTTGTTCACTATGACTTGGTTAACTCATAGAATAAGTGTTCCACTTTTCACACCAATTTGTAGAGCTGTGTTTGTAAAAGTAATCGATACCTGGTATGTGTGTTATAAGGTACAGCACATTTTCAGAGGTTCCTTTCTCTCAAATGTGACCTTCTTTAGCAAAGATCAAACAAGATTTAAAAATCCTTTATCAAAGTTAAATCTCAGCAACCATAATTATCTCTTTTTGTTCATCTTCCTCCAGTGACAGGCTCAGATTTTCTCTTACTGACGTACACGAGTGGACTAATATTAAGCTGAGAGCAATATTAGCAGGAACAGGATACAGGCCAGCAACTCTGGCCTGTATCAGGAATACCTGGATACAGGCCAGGAACAGATACCTATTCCTGCCAACAGCAGGTCTGTATAATATCATACAGAAGCCAAATTTTCTAGGATTTTTTAACCTAGTATAGAAGTCAGTTGTCTTTGTGGTTTACTTAAATCCCACATAGAGGTCTGCCATTATAAGAATGGCAGATTTTACTATTAGATTCAGTAAAGTGGAGAATCAGTGGGTTTCTATCACAGAGTAGGCCAAGTGACAGTTAATCTTGAAATGAGCACTTTGCTAGTTTTGTGGTATAAATTATATGCAGTGCTACATGCCATTTACCCTCAGAGTACTCTAGGCATGTTCATGAGGGATTAATATAAACTGATGCTGTTAATATTTTAGTTTTTTGTTAAGGCAATCCTATCACTTCCACCACTAATGCAGTTCATGCTGACATATTGGAATGTGCCATAAGTGGCATGGAAAAAAAATCACATGGAGACTCTCTGGTAAGCGTAGGCATAATGGAAACCCACCTACTCAACGCTTACTGTTAAGGTCCACAAATTGGGATATGGGCATAGCAGGTGACCAGTGCAAAGAGGTCCCGAAAAATCCCAGGAAACAAACAGAAAGGAGGGGAGAATTAACAGTTCCTACTACCTATGTAGGCTGCAATGCACAGAGGAAAATACCAGTGGACACCAGCTTTGCATTTGCAGAATAAGAGGATCTTATAGTGGAAAAATCCCAGAATTACAAAGTAGATTCTCTCTACTAGAGCTTTTCTAAAAAGGTAATGCAGAATGTTGTAAGCTTAAGGTTTTAGATGCCAGAATGATAATAAAAGTCTAAAACTAATTTCAGGAATTTTTATGTGAATTTCTTATTGTTTCTTGAGCTCCTTGAAATTCTTGCTTGCACCTCTCAGCAGGTGTGTAGGATATCACTTAGGAGGCCCTGCTATAGTGAATTACAAATTAGAAGAAAGCTGTTGAAAGTTTATAAGGTAATCAGTGAATGACTTCCTGACATAATTTAATGTGTGTAGATAGATTAAAATAGTACTATCAGTCTCCACCTTGTTCTTACAAGTAATATCAACACAAATTAATATGCAGACTGAAATTTAAAAAACATGTGTACAGTACAGAATTGTAATATTTTTATAACATAGGGAAACAGGTCATTTTAAATCTCAATTTAAAACTTTCTTCTATTTTTTTTTATCATGAAAAGAGGAAGAGCTTTCAACAATGATCAACAACTGCGTACTAATAGCACATGATAAAACACTGTCAGAAACTCTTTGCTGCTGATTTTGCTGTGGTACTTCTAAATGTAGCAAGTAAAATAACATTTAGGATTAGTAAATTAGTAAACAGGGACTTTTTTTCATTGTTTTGCTAAATCCACATTGAAGACAATAGAGCTACAAAAATTTATACACACAAATGTGTCAGTTTCCAATAAGTGATTAATTGCAAAATACAATTTCAGTGACCAAGATCAATGATATGGAATAGTTATAGACAATAGGACATTTGAAGGATTCTTGCCACATAAACATTTTGTGGCCAGATTTAGTTTTGTGGCAGACATTCACACTCTGTAGTTGTTTTGGTGCTCTGATGATTCTTTTATAATCCATGAGGCTGATGACTGAATACAAAAGTTTCATATAAGAAAAAGGAAAAAGGAAAACTATCTGAAACACTATTTCCTCTCTTTTTTTTTTTTCAGACACTTTGGAAAGGAGACCTAGACTGAAAATGCCACCAGCAGTAACAGCGCCACAGTACCCACCTCCAGATGGAGGTTGGGGATGGGTTGTGGTTTTTGGGGCTTTTATTTCCATTGGATTTTCCTATGCATTCCCCAAAGCCATCACAGTATTCTTCAAAGAAATACAGGAAATCTTCCACACATCATATAGTGAGATAGCTTGGATATCATCGATAATGTTGGCTGTCATGTATGCAGGAGGTAAGACATTTGAGAAATTGGCAAAAAATATAGCTTTTTTGAATGGTCTTAATGCACTTAAAGTCTTTAAACTTTAGTCTAAAGTTTAACTAAAGTCTTTTAAACTTTTTAAACTTTAAAGTCTTTTAAACTTTACTATTACTTAATCATTTTATTATTGCCTGATGAATTTACCCAACTACACATTTTGTTACTGTATCATCATTAGTGTTTACTTTCCCTTTTAGAAGTGTTTTGCTATTCTCTTCTTATTCATTTTCACTTTAGGTATTTTTATTTATTCCTCCTGATTCTGTTTAGCAACTTTGACCTCAATTTACATCTCCTAAGAATCCCATTTTACAACAAAGCAATGTATAAGTAACTTCTCCTAGGACTATGGCCACATTGCTCAGTTTCCAATGCCTCAGTGAAGACTCTCAGTAGATCTCATGATCATGTTTACATACAGAAAATTAGTGTTATGACAGTTAGTGTCCTGCACTCTGCCACAGATAATCCTCTGTTTCATATCTTGTCCTTATTTGTGCTAAAATAAAATCCAATGGTTACTTACTGCTTAAATTGAGAGCCGTATTTCATGTATGCCATCTCTATGACAACTGATTGTAGAATATAGTCCTCTTCTTTGGGCTGAAATGAACAGCGAGAAAATATTTTCAGACAATTTTATTCTTGTGAGGAAGACAGATGGAAAAGAATTTTAAAGCAGAAAACTGGTTTAAAGTATTAAGTGCACTAAACCTACTGCAGCAGGTTCTGTGTTTCTCAGCTTCAAGGACTAATTGATAAATTCTGCTTTATTTCTTAATTCTTTGGGGGTATTTTGTAAAGTGTTAGTAGGAGCTAACTGATACTTAGGCAAACCATTTTTTTTTCAGGAACCCCAAATGTCTGGATAGAAGGGTATTTCAGACAGTAAATATGGCATTGTTTTTTAATGATCTTTCTTTGAAAATTATACCCACTTGCAACATCTCAGACAGTTGATAATGATGTATATAGACAGAGACACATATGCAAATTCTGAAAACACTGTGGCAGTAGCACATCCAGGTGCAGTATCTTTAATCATTACAGAGCACCACAAATATTTTTCAGAAGGGATATCTGTATAATAATACAGTATTGACAGGTCCAATAAACTTAATCTATTAAATGAAACACAAAACTTTTAGCATAGAAACCTGTTACTGAATTCAACTTAGCTAAATTTTAACACATGAATGATGCTCACTCCTTTAGTCATAAGTGAAAAGATGTAGGTGCATAAGGGGATTCCGACTGCCTGAAAGTGCCTGCTCCCTCTAAATTGCTGCTTAGGCACAGTACTTACCATTATTATTTATACAGAGATAAGTTTTAAAATCTTGTTATACAATTTTGTTACCAGTGATACTGGAAGCAAGCTAATGGAAATTCTTTGTGATTATATCATCTGATAAAATAATTTATTCTGGCATAAACAGAGACCCTATAAAGAGGATATGAGAAGCTGTGCCAATTTCAGAAAGAGTTTACTATTCAGATATTTTGATCCTATTTTTATTCATATGCTAGTAGAGAATCATAAAGGATTTTATAGAAGCAGCAATAGCCATGAGAAAAATGACTGAGTGAAAAGGTAACCTGGAATGATGCATTCAAGAGTGGAGTGAAAGAGAAGGTGCATTTGTACTATATGTTATTTCACCTTTGGACACCAAATTGCTATTGAGCAATGAGCCTGGAAATGTGTGTCCCTTTGGAATATGTGGTACTTCATGTGCTCAGACGTGCTTGACTAGCACCCTGCCAGGCACATCTGGACAGCTTCTTCACAAGGCCTCTGAAAGCAGTCTCCATGATGGCCAGGCTCACAGAACGCAGGTCTCATTCACATCCTCTGTTCAGGAGCTACCTCTTCAGGATGCATATGCAGTGCCTGGGCTTGTATGATAGAGCAAACGTGGGTACATATGGACTCCCCAGAACAAGTACTGTAGCTATTTGGAACAGGGAAGGAGCACAGATGTTCAAAAATGTCATTTTGTTTCTTCGTTCTTTGACCTTTGACATTGACTCTTTTTTTAACTGCTTTTTTTTTTTTTTCAGCCAAAGCTTGATTTTCTAAAAGAAGATTTAATTTGTGAAACAGTTGCTCTATCTAATTTTCGTCTTCAAATAACATACAATTCATGCCATTTTTGTCATCACATCGAATTTCACCCAAGTTTTATTAACGGAACAACGGGATGTTCAGCTGTGGTCATTTTTATATACTGGTTTCAATGTGCCCATAGTTAATGTAAATTACAGAGCAATCAATACTTCCACATTCTGTCTAATACTGCTTTCACTATTATGAATACTAGCTTGCTAACTTAGTCTTTATATTGACATGAAAATTATAAAATGGTTTACTACTCATTCGCAATATACTAACACCTATCCCATTGACTGTCAGCACAGGAACAGTAGGCAGATTTGTTTGAATATCTCATTGTAGAATCATGGCTTTAAAATGCTGAGAATGAACAACTCTGCCTTATACAAACATTCTTTGAAGCCATAGCTTCTCTAGAACCACTTCCTAAAAAATAGGCCTTTTAGACAATCACTGGCAGAATATGAAATAGCAATCAGGAAGAACATTTCTGAAGGAAATCACTCCATTGTTTTGCTGTCTGAAGGTGGTTTGATTTCTTAGTATTTGATGTGCTGCACTGTGAAATGCACTTTAAGAACGTGAGTATAAGGTGCATTGTTCGCAATGAAGTGAGGTACATATGTCTGTGATGAATACTCTGCTCATCATACTACTAATTAAAGTAACCTGAGAACATCTAAGAGATGTCATCCTCACTAGATTTTAGCGTTCAATCTATTAATCATCACAGTGGGGTCAGTGAATAAGTTAGAATCTGGGCAGGCGCTCTTTGCTTTGCAGACTGCAGCCTCTTGCAGTAATTAGCTGGCATCTGTGTTTCAGTAACAAGGTATTAACTTACCTTTTGAGGCCTGAGAAAAGAAAAAAAAAAGGGAGAGGAAAAGAGAACTAATAAAAGACATCCAGTAAGGAGCTAAAAGAATGTTAATTATGTTTATCACTTACTTCATACTTAGAATAAATGGCATTAAATTATAGCAGACCATCTGGCAATCCATATGGTCTCCTGGAGTCCTGGTTAATTCCAGCAAATAGGTCAAGCACAGCACACTCCCTGTTAGAAAAGCACTAAGTAGAGGTGACAAATCTGATAAATCAAATCAATATGAAACTGTTTTATTTTCCCCTCTCAATCTGGTGTAATATGCACTTTTGTACTGTTTCACAGTTTTTTTTGGGGGGGGAGTGGAGGAAGGAAGAATTGTTTGGATTTTTCTTTTTGGTGATGATGCCTTTTGCTTTCTTAAGCACCCCACTCTGGTCTCCTATGTGTTTGTTAGAATTTACTTGAAAGCCGTCCCATAAAGCAAAATCCTGTGATGTGATCAAGGTTATAGGTGCTGGACAGCCTCTCCTGTTCAGCCAGTGCTTGAAGGAATAACCCTCTGGAGAAGAGCAGGAGTTCGATCTCCATGGCAACTCAGTCCTCTACCTCTCCTGAGCAGAGACTGAAAATTTCATTTTTTAAAAATTAAGGGTGGTAATTTTTGGACGGACTTCTGCATGCAAGAGACTGTGCCTGAAACCCCAATCTCGTTTCTGGAAGAGAAAATTTGAGTTAAGGTGGAAATAGCTGTTTTAAATGGACAGGACATCTTTATGAGTTTATATACACCTGTGTATATGTATATATGAATTTATAGAGCCACATGTATGAGGTAGCAGCATGGGTAACCCAAAGAATTAAAGAAATTTAGAAAAATTAAGAAAAGGAACCAATGTACTTGACGCCAAGTTTTTTCAGTTCATTCATCTCTTTTCCAAAACTTTACTTTTCACTTTGTACAGCATTAACCAGCTAAGAGTGATTAGAAAGAATCTTATCCAAGCTCAATCTATTTCTAATAAAAACATTTTCATTGCTTTCAGTGTAAGCTTGATAGGGTCCTTCATGGCAGCCATGAAAGCTGTGTGACAGGTCTGTTCATTGCAGACACAGATGACCTTGTATTGCAGATTTCCTTAGGGAAAAGAAACACTTGTTTTTCTTACTTGTGTTTAACTCTTTTCTATCATTTTCCAAAGGCAGCTTCATTTTTTTTGTTTTGTTTTGAAAATAACGTTCTGAGTGTAACATCAGGTTACAGAGTTTAATAGCCTGAGAGCTCTTAAATTCATTATCCAGCTGTGAGATGTGGGACAGTCTTGCTGGTCAGGATCTCAACAGAGAAATTCTGGATAAATCATATAAAAAAGATATTGAGAGACTTTTTTATGAAAGATGTAAGTGCAAATAGTGGCTGCTTTTCAAAATACTCATATTTAGAATTTACCTTACTGAGTAGCTTCTTTTTCTGTGTTTCTTAAGTTATTCAAGTTTCAGGTTAACTATTTTCATATAGCAGCATATATTGATTTTCTCAGGTGGCAACTCAAAAGTAATCTACAAACAAGTTATCTTTATGACTTTGTGAAATATTAATTTGGGAAATAACATATCATATGGTATGTTCAAAATATTTGTGATTTTATCTCCGTGGGTGTTTCAGTGATATTGCTGTGAAGATGAAATGGCATGCACAGTGGAAATGACAGGCAAAATCCATGTAACACAAACAACAGATGGCTATGGTTTTTTACTTTCGGATGGGATCTATGCTTTCTTCTTGCTCACTAACTTACTGCTTTTTTTGATTCTGCAAATGTTGGCACAAGGAATTGAGTGGACATGGATAAGAAGATTGAGAAGCCTTCTTGAACTGACCTATGTCCTTTGTTGTCAGGAACAAATGTGGGTTTTTTTGCCATTGGAATATGCAAAACGTTGAATTTTAATAACCTCATTTAGAGTGTCCTTGAAAGCAGAACTTATCAACTTTCCAAATGCCTCATGGGCATGAGGGAATACTTC